AGAGAGAGAGAGAGAGAGAGAGAGAGAGAGAGAGAGAGAGAGAGAGAGAGAGGGAGAGAGGAATGATACAAGATCGGTTGTGTCAACCACGAAGAAGAAAGGTGGCAGCTATTCGAGCTCGAACTGGACAAGGAAGGAGAAGATCGGGAGTAACTAAGACGAAGTTGAGGGGGAGAGTGAAAGTAAGAAGGAGAGACAAGAAGGGAAGGAGAAGCCATAACCAAGTAGGTCGAAGAAGAAGAGAGAAGGGGGAAAGAGCAAGAGAGAGGTTGGCAAAGGAGAGAAGGGTCAGCAGCCATAACCGAAGGCTAGAGCTTTGACCGGGAAGGTTGACCAAGAGGTTTGACCAAGTTGACCAGCCGTTGACCAGCGTTGACCAAAGGCTGTTGACCATGATTTTGACCAAGCTGGAAATGGTATAATCTCGCCAAGCCTTCCGCCTATCCCCTCGCCCTGTGGATGTGCACTTATCCCTTGGTACTTGTTGAGTCTGTCTCTCTTCTTTCTTAATTGAGTCAGTACTGTCCAGGTGATAGGACTCCATGCATGTGGTCATAGAGCTGTGTTGACCAAACCTACACGGGCTGAGTACGGCTCAAGTCCATGTTTGACGACTGACACGGCCCGGAGGCCCAACCCTCCCAAGCACCGGTACAGACTGGCGGGCTGCTCAATGTGGCATGGTAGGCCCAAAATCCGAGTTGCACAACCAGTTGTCTATATGTTGAGAGAGCTCTGCTGATCATGTCGTCCTGACTGCGACGTTAAAGAATTCGTGAGGAGTTATGGGGGTTCTCCTTAAATGCCTCCTGATCAGCAACGGGGTTCTATAGTGACAGCCTAGAAGTAGGTCCAGGCTAGAGACCCTAGTTGACAGGATCTGAGAGGATTTTGTGATCCATAGAGAGTGGTCAGTCAGCCAGTCAGCCAGTGGGTGGAAAGTCTAAGTGGTGAGGAGTGGAACTCTTACAGGTTGTGCATCTTTCACCATGGTGACCACGCGAGGAGGAACGAGTACCACCCCGTATTGTAGAGAGCAAGAAGAGCAAGTCGCCGCCCTGCTGAAAGAGAGAAAAGAGAAACTGGAGGAGTTAATAAAGCAGGCGAAGATGCTGGCCTTGATAGAAGAGCAGAAGGCCAAGCAAAGACAGCTGGAGGAGAGAAAATGGGAAAAGGAGCAGGAGGAGATAGTGGAGACGATAGACGGGGAAGCAGAAGTCGAAGCAGAGAAGGGAGAGAAAGAAGAGGAAGTAGAGGTCCCCCTCGAGAGAAACGTAAGAAGAGAAGAAAGAGGGGAACCCAATGTGGCGCCAAAGATAAGGGCGAAAATGGAGAAGATGGTGACAAAGTGGGTAGGCAATCTGGCCCTGGGGACGAAGAGGAAGCATCCTTGCTTGTCCCTCAGACGGAGGGGGAGGCATTCGCAAGGGAGTTGGAAACGGAGGAAAATCCCTTGCAGTGACAGACTATCGAGGAGGAGAAAAAGTTGGAATGGAAGTTGCGCCTTACTAAGGAAAGGAGGAGGCAATTGGCGGCGGCCGAGACGATGGAGGAGTTGAGGGTCGCCGAACAGCAAAGGGGTAGTTGGCGGCATAGGAAGACCTCCATAAGCAAATTCAGATCTTGTCCCAGAATATGGAGATAGTGTTGAAAGCCCAACAGGAACAAGTGCGCTATTTAAGGGGCCGCGATATCGCATCACAATCCATATGCACAGGTTTCAAAGATTTTGCAAGGGATATGAAGATGCGTGAAGGTACTTAGTTGCATGCTGCTATGGAAGGCACTGGGAGGTTTTGCGTCGGTGTCATTGAAGGTGCCAAGTTAGCTGCCTTAAAGGAGGAAGAGGTTCGGCCCAATCGTGAGCACATTAAAGCTAGATTCCGTGAGCCTTATGGAGGGAAGAAAGGAGAGGATTTTTATAATTGGCAAGCCAATATCGACTCCTATAACCACCTCCAACTTATCCAGCCTGAGAAGCAAGTTCTTGTGGCATTCCAGGCGTTGAAGGACAAAGCGTCCAGCTTTGCTAGGCCGCTTGCTCGTGCCGCCAACTGTGACAATGATATGGTCACATACTCCTCCCTTACTCACCTGAACGAATTTTTGACTGCCCTCTGGGATAGATTTGCAGATGTCACTAGGGGCCTTAAGAGTCTCAGACAAACTGCAAACAATCCACTCGCGACAATGGAGATCTGCAAGGGCACTCAAGGCCACCATGGATGAACTCGTCGTTGCCCCAGGCCATGGGGTTACCGAGCCCAAGGGGGAGAGGCCGGGGCCAAAAGGGTCGGGCCTCTAGTGGTCGAGGACAGGGCGGCCAAAGGGTTGGCGGCAGACGAGGCTTCCAAGAGGGAGGAAGGGGCCAAGGTCCCCCGTCAAACCGTCCACATTTTAATCGGTCACCTCCCAAAAGGGGTGAATGGCACCCTGGTCTGCCTCATGGCAGGCCCTGGGAAACCTTCGGCATCAAAAAGAAAACTGGTAGGATAGGATTGATAATTGGCAGTGTGTGTTCTGTGGTGATCCAGCAGAAGGCAACCGCGGTAGGGGTAGCAAATGCCCTTATCCCTAGGCCATGCAAAGATGAGTGCATGCGTTAAGTAGGAACACCCCACCCACATTGTCTAGTTAGCTGTCCAGAGACTACTTGTGTTAGGGTCTCTCTACACACTTCCCTCACAAGACTAGCAAAAAAGTTGAAGGTGAGGATGCCAGCCTGGGCCACGATGAAGAAAGATGGGAAAGGGCAGCTGGTGTTGGTAGATGTAGAAGTCTTTAGAGGCAGGGTAGGGGCCCTTATAGATAGTGGGGCCACCCGTAGCTACATTAGTCGTGGAGCGCTGAAGAAGTTGAAGCTTAATTTGAAAGTCCAAAAGTTGGATGCGCCCATAGTCGGCATCCTCGCAGACAATCGCACAATGCGAATCGGGGATTACGTCGAGGGAGTCCAGGCATACTTTCGGCTAGAGCAAGATGGGAAGGTAGAGAGAGTTATCCATTCCCTTACTCTCCTCGTAGAGGATAACCTTTCGTTTGATATGGTCCTAGGAATGGACTGGGGAGAGGCAACAAGAGCCACACTGCACCTAAGGGAGCACAAGTGTAGGCTCCCTAGTCCCTCAGGTGGTGTCAAGACGGCCCGCCTGTTCCATGTGTCAGGAGTAGACAACCCTCTGGCACATTGGTGTCTCAGTGCTCCCGCGTTCGCACGATTAGTGAAGGAGCAGTTAGAAAAGCAGTTGTTGTCTCAGTGCTCCCGCGTTCGCACGATTAGTGAAGGAGCAGTTAGAAAAGCAGGTCTTCGTGGCTATGTCAAGCCTATCACTGAGCCTAACAAAGAGGAGCCCACCAACCCACTTATTGCCAAGCTGTTGGAAGAGTACGCAGACCTGTCAGAGGCTCCATCAGCAGTAGTTCCACGTCGTATCCAACACCGCATTGAGATAGAGCCTGGCAGTAACACTCCCAAAGGAGCAGTGTATAGGATGTCTTCCAAGGAGTTAGAGGAGTTGCGCAAGCAGTTAGACGAGCTTCTCGAGAAAGGTTGGATTAGGCCCAGTTCTTCTCCATTTGGAGCACATGTTCTCTTTGTCCCCAAGAAAGTGGGAGAGATGAGAATGTGCATTGACTATAAGGGTCTCAACGCGGTTACGGTAAAGAATGTAAAACCATTGCCCCAAATAGATGATCTGTTGGATTGGGTGCAGGGCTGCAAGTACTTTTCGAGGATAGATTTAAAATCAGGGTACCACCAAATAGAGGTTCACCCTGATGATCGGTACAAAACAACGTTTCGTACTAGGTATGGGCACTATGAGTTTATCGTGATGCCCTTTGGGCTAACCAACGCGCCGGCCACATTCCAACGCTGTATGAATGTTTTGCTCAGGTTGTGATTAGATAGATTTGTAGTTGTTTACCTAGATGATATTATGATTTTCAGCAAGATTCTCCAGGAGCACGAGGCTCATCTGAGGCATATCTTGGAAAAGTTGCGCAAAGCAAATTTCAAGATCAGTACAAAGAAGTGCAAATGGGCCAAGACAGAGATTTTGTACTTGAGCCACGTAGTAGATGGTGACGGCATAAAGCCTGAGGGCAGCAAGATCGCAGCGATCAGAGACTGGCCAACCCCGCATACCCTCACAAAATTGAGGTCATTCTTAGGATTGGCTAATTATTATAGGAAGTTCGTGAGGAACTTCGCTGCAATCGATGCCCCCCTTCACAGACTGCTAAAGAAAGAGGCAATCTTGAAGTGGGACTAAGACTGTACATCAGCCCTGAAGCGGGCCTTGATAGAGTACCCTGTCCTCAAGGTAACTGACCCATCCTTGCCCTTTGTTGTTACAACTGATGTGAGTCACTATGGTATTGGTGCTATCTTCCAGCAAGATGATGGCAATGGGTACATACCCGTAGAGTTCATGTCCGCTAGGTTGCCTTCAAAGAAGGTAGCAACATCCACCTATGAGAGGGAACTCTACGCTCTCAGGCAAGCACTAGACCACTGGAGACACTACTTGCTTGGGAGGCACTTCAAAGTCTATTCAGATCACGAGACATTGAGGTGGCTGAGACGCATGCCAAGATGACACCTAAGCTTACTAGGTGGGCCGCCGAGATAGACCAGTTCGACTTCAAGCTCAAGCCAGTCAAAGGGAAGTATAACGTGGTTGCCAATGCCCTTAGTAGGAGAGCCGACTACTTTGGAGATAAAGTTCGCTACCTGGATATAGGGTCAGACTTACAACAACAAGTCAGAGATGCGTACGCGCAGGACCATATCTATAGTGACCTCCTTAAGAGAGTCAAGGAGGACCCAACCAGTGAACCTCTCTACCGCACCACCAACGGGTTATTGTTTGAGAAGACATTCGTCGTAGATCGGCTATGCATTCCCAAAGGTGAAGAGATCCGTAGTCTGATTCTTGGGGAATGTCACGATACAAAGGGCACTTCGGTTGGCAAAAGACACTCGCCAACCTGATACGCGCCTACATGTGGCCTGGCATGAAAGCTGATTGCATAGAGTATGTGTGTAGTTGGAAAGTATGCCAACGCAACAAAACTCCGACGAGAGCCCAATTGGGTTTTCTCAGACCCCTGCCTATCCCATCAGGACCCAGAGATCTTGTGTTCATTGATTTGATGGATATTGGGGTTAGGAGTAGGCATGGCAAGAGCCAAGTCATTGTTATAGTAGCAAGGATGCAGTTTTTGTCCCTTTGCCTGCCGAAGCACGTACTGATCTAGTGATAGAAAAGTTATTTGATCATTGGGCTAGCAAGTATGGTCTACCGCTGTCCATAGTCAGTGACAGAGACACCAGGATCACTAGTCAAAACTGGCAGGAACTTATGAAAGTATATGGTTCTAAGTTGTTGATGTCGTCTGACCGCCATCCAAAGACAAACGATCAGATTGAGCAAATGAACAAGATCAGCAAGTTCTTAGAATGTATATTACGAGATGCTCCCAAAGGTAACCAGCGCTTACAATAACAACGCTCACCAAGCCACTTGTCGCACTCCCAACAAGTTACACAAGTCCTTTACACCACGCAGACCGTTTGAGGGACTAAATCGGGACCGGATACAAAGGCTACCACTCGATACTAAGGAGCTAGTGCTACAGCACGAAAAGGAAATTGCCAAAGTGATAGATAACCTTAGGAAGGCCCAGCACAAAATGATAGAGCAAGCTAAGAAGCATCGTCGCCCGTCACAGTTTCAAATAGTCGACCTTGTCTGGGTCAAGTCCAAAGAGTTTACTCCTGACGAGAACATCTCGCAGAAGTTGTTGCCTGCTTATAGAGGACCGTGGCCAGTTCTAGAAGTCAAAGGTAGAGACGACGGACCGTCCTACACCATAAAAATTCCAGCACACCTCCACACCTACCCAGTTTTCCATGCGTCAAAGTTGTTGCCTTGCATTACGAGTCAGCAGTTCCCATCGAGAAGGTCCATGGTCCCTCCAGATATGGACGGAAGGTATGACATTGACGACATAATAGATGAAGATGTATTCAGGACAGGAGGTAGAGGTCGTCCACAGAAACAGTATAAAGTCAAATTCGCCTACCAAGAGCCCGAGGACGATCACTGGTTTACGCGAACAAAACTTCTAGAAACAGCTCCCCACATAGTTCGTACCTATGAAAGAGCTAACAAAGGTATCCTGCTCGAATTTAGGCCGGCGGGAGTGAAACGGTTTTCACCTTTGTGGTAGCAGTCGGAGTTCCCAGAGCTCATTCCCCAGACCTCGCCCTTACCCGTGTACAATACCAGTCGACCCGTGTGTGCTCGAACTCGTGACCTGTGTCTTGAAAGTTGCCTATTTGTTTGCTATACGTAGAGTGGTCGTCGAGTCTTGAATCGTAGGTCTGTACATTAGAGGTCTTACCAGTGATAGGAGTCGTAGCTGCTACAGTACTGAAGGGTCAAGTCCACAGTCTTCCGAAAGGTCCAAAACTGACCCTTCGTGAGTCCTACTAGGCCGTAGGTCCAAAACTGACCCTTCGTGAGTGCTAGTAGGCAGTCCGTAGGCAAGTTGTCAAGTGGGCAGTCTTACCTTGCTCAGTCAGCGGTACCCAGTCCGAGATGCACCTTGTCAAGTCCGCAAGTACCATGCGGGACTGTGCGCGCTCGGGCCCGGTGGAGAGAGGCAAACCAGCAACAATCCAAAGAAAGAGGCAGCGATCAGTCGTTCATTCATTCGCCTATGAGCCGTGCGGAAGCGTTGTCGAAGTGTCTTCTGAGCGGAGGTCTGCAGGTGCCCATTGATGAAGAGGGCTAAGACGAGGAAGATCGTTTATAGCCGACTGGGGGACGTGTTGCGGCTACGCCCGCAATAAAAATGGAATGTTTGCCAAGAAGTTGTTCTCTCTCTCTCTCTCTCTCTCTCTCTCCCCCCCCTCTTCCCCCCCCACCTTTGTGTGTGTGTGTGTGTGTGTGTGTGTGTGTATGTGTGTGCGTCTTACCTCTTGCGGCCGATGAAGAGGGCTAAGACGAGGAAGATCGTTTATAGCCGACTGGGGGACCTGTTGCGGCTACGCCCGCAATAAAAATGGAATGTTAGCCAAGAAGTTGGACTCTCTCTCTCTCTCTCTCTCTCTCTCTCTCTCTCTCTCCCCCCCCTCCTCCCCTCTGTGTGTGTGTGTGTGTGCGTGTCTGCATCTTACCTCTTGCGACCAATGAAGAGGGCTAAGACGAGGAAGATCGTTTATAGCTGACTAGGGGACCTGTTGCGGCTACGCCCGCAAAAAAATGGAATGTTTGCCAAGAAGTTGGACTCTCTCTCTGTGTGTGTGTGTGTGTGTGTGTGTGTGTGTGTGTGTGTCTGTGCCTTACCTCTTGCGGCCGCGTGCGTGCGCGCGCCCACTTCGCTTTACTTTTTTTTTCCTTCGAAATCACTTGTGTTTCTGGTTTCTTTTATTTCCAAAATCGCTCATGCTTCCCTTGTTTTTCTTTTTTTTTTTCTCCATTAGCTTTCCCGGGGCGCTCGGTCGGGCGCCCCGGGCGCCTCGCCCGGGGTATCCCGAGCATGAAAAAAATCCACCGAATTTTTCTTTTTTTTTTTGGTCTATGGGGGTTTGCTGCGCATGCCGAGTACAGCCCAAATCTGGCCTCATTGTTTTTTTTCAGGCATATTGGTTGTTTGTGTTTGGGGGCGAGAGGAGAGAGGACTTTGGCGGGAAGGAGGAGGGAGGAAGGAGGGAGGACTATGGCAACAGGAAGGAGGGAGGAGGGGGGACTATGGCAGGAGGTACGAGGAGGTAGGAGCAGGACTCTACCAAATGTAAGAGGTAGGAGCACAACTCTACCGGAGGTAGGAGGAGGTAGGGGCAGGACTCTACAAAGAAGAAGGGAAAACGAAGAAGAAGAAGAGGACTATGTCATCCCAAAAGGACTGTAGAGAATAAGAAGAGGAGGAAGAAGAGGATGAAGAAGAAGAAGGGAAGAAGAAGAAGAAGAAGAAGAAGAGAGGGAAAGAGTAAGAAGAGGATGAAGAAGAAGATAAAGAGGAAGGGAAGGAGGAGGAGGGAGGGAGGCTATGGAGGGAGGAGGAGGGGGAAGGGAGACTGATGGAGGGAGGGAGTCTAACGAGGGAGGAGGACGGGGAAGGGAGACTGATGGAGGAGGAGGGGGCAGGGAGTCTATGGAGGGAGGAGGGAGGCTATGGAAGACGGCGCCGAAGCATAATCAAGCATTCCCCCCCAAAAAAAAGGATGATCATTTGCTGATGAAGCGCTGTGGCGGAGGAAGAAACAGGGAGGAAGAAGAGGAGAGCAGAAGCAGAAGCAGCAGCAGCAGCAGAAGAAGAAGAGGCGGCAGCAAGAAAAAGAAGAAGAAAAAAAAGAAACCATGAAGAATAAGAACAAATAGAAGAAGAAATGACAAAGAAAAAAAAGAAAAGAAGACAAAGAATTGGTAGAGATAAAGAAGAAGAAGTAGAAGGAAGAAAAAAAAGAAAAAGAAGAAGAAGAAGAAAACTTACCTGAGCTGACGATGGCGGCGCAGGCAGTCTTCGTCAGGGACGAGGAGGATGGCGGGGCTGGACGGCGACGACGGTGGCGCGCCGGAGGGCAGCAGGTTGATGACGACGATGGCTCATCAGGGTGATGATATGGATGGCGCGGTCGACCAGGGCAGGGCGACAACAACCAGGAAACAACGAGTTGGTGCTGGGGGGCAGGGCAGAGGGTGCAGGGCCGCGCGGTAAGTCCCAAGATTCAAATTCAAAATCTTGAGACTTCCGCGCCATCAATCAACGCAGATCAACGGCCCAGGTCCCAAAAAAATAAACTACGAAATGGGGCCTACCGGACCCCAAAAAAAAATGGGGCGGGCGCCAATTTTTTTTTTTCCTTCTAGGGCTCCAGCCCACAGTGCAAAATTTTTTTTTTGAAGTGATTTGGGGGGCGGCGCTGTGGGGGTCCGGGGGCCTGGTCGGGGAGGTCGCACGGTCGGGCGCCCAGGCTGGAAAGCTAGATGCGAACGGATTTTTCGCTTTTTTCCCCCTTCTTTTTTAAAGGTCTTGATCGACCACGGATTGTCCGTTAAAATTTTATCAATGCGCACTCGCGGGAACTCCCGTACACGCCCATACATGCACAAAAGGAAGGGGATAGGTAGTGGAGTGTCACACCGCCCAACAAAAGGAACGCAGCGGAAGACTCTAAGGAGCGAAGTGACAGAACACACAAAATTGTGGATTCTCTCCACACAGGTCCCAACAATCATTCATAGAAGACAACCGAGTGATCACAACCAGAAATCAATGACGAGATGACAACTCAAACATAGTAATACAACTGTTTATAAAACTGAGAGCATCGTTTTCCCTGAATAACCTCAGATTCCTGCCGCGCTACCCTCAGAGAGGTAGCGCCTCAACCGCACACACACCGAGCAGCTAAAAATAGCACCAGAACCCCAGGTAACACCCAGCGCCACCCTGGCATCCAACTCAGTGGCCTGCGCCAAGGTGAAACAGGCTCCCAGAGCCAATCGCCAGCGCCAACAGTCCCTGATGAAGATGAAGTCCAGACGATGATATCCTCTGAGACCCATGGCTGCATCGCCACTGGGACCCTACTCCTGAAGAGGGTCAGCAGTGCACCACGTGCTCCAATGCATCAGACCTCTGATAGCCCAAACCGCTTTGACTCCCAGAGAGTCAGCGTTGACCCCAGTCTGGTCAGCGCTCCGAAGGTCTGGCTATGTTCGCCGTCTCCCACACCGGAATCAGCAACCACGACTTGATACCGTGTGCGCAGCAACTTCCACCATGAAGTGTCAACTGCCAAGAGCCCAGGACCGATGTTCCCATCCTATCTATACTCTAGACTAGCCTAGACACGACCTAGACCGGACTGACTGACCGGTACCGTTTCTATTTCGGCCTCTACGGCCTCTCCCTACCCGGCTATAGGCTATAGAACCGTCTATCAGCGTAGGCCCATTGGGCCTGTCTGTCCTAGGGGTAGCCCGGGTCTGCTATTCGCAGTTAGGGTAGCTGTAGGAAATTCGAGTTAATACCAGGCCCATATTTCCTATATTTACAAATATGTCCCTCACGAATTTTCCTTACAGATAGGTCTCTCGGTCAACCAAACAAAATTACGAATCTATCCCTACCTAGGATACAGCCTCGTCAGAGAAAGGCTACAGGCAACCTGGAACCAGCAAGTCATTGCAGACCTACCCTCCCCCGGAGCGAGGACCTCTAAGCTAGGGGTGTTGGCGTGCAGAGCGTCGAAGGGGTTCTCCCCTTTGCGCAGCCTCATATTTGTTGTTTTCAGAAGCTCCTTGCGAGTAAACCAGCGACCCTCAGTATGGGGCTGGTAAAGAAACTTCACAAGGTACTCCTTATTCGGGCCTGTACCGTACTCATCCTCAACTGATTCCACCTCGTATCCCTTCCCAGGGATCGCGGGACCAAATTGAGGAGCCCTGTCTGGAAATGCATCCACTGGGGTAAACGGCAGCAGCTTGGATGCATGGAAGACATGGTAGGTTTGTAGATGCAGTGGGCCGTCCACGTGATAAGAGGGCCCGAAAGGGTCAACTCCCACTGTATCCAAAACCTGCCATGGACCCATATAACGCGGCAACAGCTTGGGCGAAATGTCCTCCTCTCGCGATAGCTCAAAACTGAGTACCCAGACCCAGTCACTTGTGCGAATGGGGGATGGGCGACGATGCCTGTTAGCCTGCTGAATCATAGCCTTTTGAGCTTTGAGCAGGTTAGCTCTAACTCGTTCGATATCCCTCTCGTACTGTCTGGTGAACGCTGCAGTCCCACGTGTCAGTCTGGGGGTAGCCTTATCAATGATGTCATCGAGAGGCTGTCGTGGTTCACGTCCCCAGTGCAACCGATAAGGGGTGAACCCTGTGGAGGAGTGTACAGACGTGTTGTACACTAGTTGTGCCCGTCCTAAGTGGAGATCCCGATTAGGGCTGATCACAGGACGGAGCAATTGGAAGAGAATCTGATTTATCACTTCAGCCTGCCCATTGGGTTCAGGATTACAACCAGATGTCATATCCAGTCTGGAATCAAGGTAGTCCTTACAATAGGACTGCTATTCATTGCTGCAAAAATGCGGATCTCTATTGTTGACAATAGAGGTGGGTGGTCCGTGGTGTGTGACCCACCGGTCAGCAAAGGCCGCCTGAACGGCCGGGACTCTGGCCTCCTCCTGCAGTGGGATGAACTTTGCATATTTAGGAAACCTGTCCACACATACCATGACCTGAGGGAAACCTGTCCACACATACCATGACCTGAGGGAAACCTGTCCACACATACCATGACCTGAGGCATACCGCGACAAGTAGTCGGCCCCATGTCATTGAAATCAACAGATACTGACTATGCAGGTGCATCAAGGATGGGAAGTGGCTGCAATAGGCCAAGGGAAGGTACGCACAACCTTGTTCCTTTGGCACAACTCACAGGTTTCAACATAGTGCAGCAGGTCAGTCCTCATCTTTGGCCAGAAGAACAGCTGCGACAGGGCTGACAACGATTTTAAGGCCCCAAAGTGGCTGCGCGCATCATGACACTCAAACATTACGAGTGTTCTCAGCTGGCGGTCTTGGGGAATGCACAGACGCTCCTATCCTCTGCTGCAGGTGTACAACAGACCTGAAACAAGTCAATATCCGGGTTCAGCTGCAGGATCAGTCTGCAGATTCATAACTATAGGGCCAAAAATCAGGTCCTGTGGCAACAACTGGGCAATGGTCTGACGGGTACTCTCCCCAAGGGTATGAGTAGAGGAGATCAGGTAGAGAGCGTCAGACCTACGATAAAGGGCGTCTGCTACGCGATTGTAGCAACCCTTCTTGTGTTTCGGTTCAAAGTCAAAGAGATCAATGAACCGAATATAGCGTGCAAGCTTTTCATTCAGTTCCCCTTGGGTCTTCATCCACTGTAGGGTGGAGTGATCTGAATAGATCTTGAAGTGCCTGCCCATGAGGAAATGTTTCCAATGCTTGAACGCTGACACTAGAGCATATAGCTCTTTCTCGTATGTAGAGTCCTGCAGCTTCTTCACCCATTGTCCTGTTGAAGTACCGCCCCAACCCCATACTGGCTAGCATCAGTAGTTAGTACCAGGGCAAGGTAGGGTCAGGTAGCTTCAGAACAGGTGCACACATCAAGGCCTCCTTGAGGCGTGTAAAAGCCTGCTGCAGTCTGATGTCCAAAGAAAGTGGGTGTCTTTCTTTGTAAGGTCAGTCAGGGGTGCAGCAATAGCAGAGAAGTTTTTGACGAACTTTCTGTAATAGGAAGCAAGACCCAAGAATGACCGGACATCACGCACTGTGGCAGACTGTGGCCAGTCCTGAATCACAGCAACCTTAGTTGCTTCAGGAGCCAGCCCTTCCCCAGAGATTACATGTCCCAGATAAGTCACAGAAGTCACTCCAAAGGAGGACTTTTCCCTATTGATCTTATACTGGGCGTCATGTAGTGCCTGCAGAACTAGAGTCAGATGCTGCGCATGCTCCTCGAAAGATCGACTGAGACCAGATACTTGGAAAAAAAAAAAAAAAAAAAAAAAAAAAAAA